CACGTTCTACCGACTGCATATGCACTTTGCGCATGTGGACTCTGCGGCTGATGGGGGCACTCAGGCGGGCAAGGCTTACCTTGCTGAGGATGTTATCGCCAATCTGGAGCTAGACGGAGAGTTCTACGCCCGCCGGACCATGCCCATGTTTCTGCATGAAAATCATGCCTTTCTGGCAGCAATCCGAGAGTCGGCGTCAGCTGTAAAAACAGAGATGGCAGCCGAGATGAGTGAGAAAAACCCCTGAGTCCCCTCCCCTCCCCCACGTGCCAGGAACGGACTTTCCGGTTTTCACCTTTGTATGGAATGTCTCCTTCGGTCCCGTTTGTAGCTTTTTTATGCATCTCATAAACTTTTCTGTTTTCTGCTTAAATGTACATCGAGCTGTAACGTTTTTATTTGTTGTTCTGATTTACTACTTATGGGAATTTTGTTGGCTGTAGTCGGGTTGGTTTGTACATGTGGAGTTCTTGTATTTATCTGAGTATATCAACTGAGAAGTGTGGCTGATAGAGCCGAAGGTATTTGGAACTTTCGATTCTGACTAAACAGTTATCTGTCCAGCGACAGTACTCGGCCAAGATCTGTTGCTCACACCCGAACCGTTTGATAACTGTACTGCGGACCGCACTAGTGTCTAGCAAACGAGTTAGATGAGTTCGTCTACCTAATTACAGCACCGAGAAATATGACCGGCAAAACCTAGAGGCTCTGTAATGGTCCTTCTGATTAGCCAGGTAGCTGCGCTAGAAGAAAATGATAGCTAACGATCCCGTGCTCAGACCTGAGGTTATGAGTTATCTCGTAAAGCCTCACATCGAGAACCAAGCCCTAAACGGTCAATAAGATGACTGTTTGCAGAGTCACCAGGTCCAATACGGCCATTCTAGACCCCGACAACAATTAGCAGGTGGCGGTGAGGGAGCTGCGAGTAACACGTCTTCTTATTGCGCTGTTTGGCAGCGGAAGTTGGTGCGTACACGGAGACGACAGAGGTGTTTGTTAAATTACCCTTCAAGCATAAGCAAGTTATTCGTTCATTGACTTTCCCAAGCAAGTAGTGCACGGTTCGCTTGTTGCGAAAGGTCAGTCGCCACACTCTGTCTACCAGAGGAGTCGTATGAGTCACTGTGGTATAGGGCGAAATGTGAGATGGTTTCGGAGATCTTTATATTCCAAGCGCCTTAAACAGGACTTCGGGCAGGTGGCAGACATCTGCGTCGTACTGATAAAAGGCTGTATACCGTCAGACTTCGCGTACCACGGGCCAGGGACGTTCGCACATTCCAGCATCCGATTCCGATTGAGTAGTCCAACTTGCCCACTATTCGCACGCACCACTGGACCAGGGTTGCGGAGCGCATCGATTCCTGCGGATTTTGTAACATGAATCGAAGTACATTTATCGGTCATACTTTTTGTAAGGTATCTTGGGAATTGTGAGTATGGGCGGATCCCCAACTGCCGCTCGAATTCTTTGTTCGAGGTTGCCTCCTCTAGCGCCTCGGCTTAATAGCCTAACCACTGCGCAGTGGTGGCAAGCGAACTTATTTAATGGTGGTTCACGGTCTTCATGTCACATTGCCGTCGTCAGGCTTTGCAACATTTTATAGGATTTTGACTTGCCAGACTTCTTCCCGCCGCACCTTGGTAGCACTGTCGCTGGGGAACCACAGCAGATGCGTCTCCGACCGCGTTCCCACCCG